CTCTGTCCTCTTATGGCCAAAAAGGAAGTGAGGAGATGGGAGGGCAGGGCAAGGCTTTTGCCCAGAAGAGGTAAGTAGCTGGGAATTGCTAAAGAAAGAATCTCAGCCAAATGAGTAAAGGAGTTCATAGTGCATACACAGGACAGCACAGAATGTCAAATGTCAGCCTGAAAATTATCCTTATTCCTTTCTAAGGATCTGGTCTACCAATAATGCCTTTCCACTAAACACAAACCCAGGCTCAAGAAGTTGCAGCTGCAGAGGAGAGGGGAATAAATCACACCAGCAGACTGGCTCAGAAGGACCCTGAGGTTAGGTGGATGAATAAAAACATGGAATGGACTCCAGTAGCCTGCTCAGCCCTACTACTCCTTTTTCTTGTGGGGAGCCTTTGCATTCCAGTATAAGAGAAGCTGGGCAGCAATGAGGCCGTTACAGAGGGAAGAGACGACAAAGGTTCCAGCCATGAGGGGATCTCCAGTTTCCTAGGTGTGAGAAACAGCTAGTGTCACTTTTCAGTAAAACCCAGAAAAGATTCCAGAGACCAGGCAGCTTTGTCTTCAGGTGGGAGAGGTAATATGAGGTTTCAGTGACTCCTAGAGGACAGAAGGTGAACTCACCTGAATGGACGTGAAAATTCGGGCCAAGGAGCCCCCAAAGAGCAAAAAGACTGTGATGGCTGAGAGCTGGCCTGTGTGCCCATTGTGGTAGTTGGTGGCTGCCTGGAGCAGCTAAAACAGGAGTTGAGACCCTTTATTCTATCATCTGAATTCCCATCACAGATTCCCCCCATTCCCCTCAGTTTAACACTCCCACACAGCTTCCACCATGCCCCTCACCCAGTCCCCACTCCCAACATTTTCCTCTTGCTCCCAGTACCCACCTTCCCCGCCACCACAGAAGGCACATTGGAGGCCTGGAGCAGGGTAATTACGGCCATGGGCGTCAGTGGTGAAAGCAGCACCAGCAGGACCAGGGCATAACCCGCTAGGAAAGCCACACCTTCGGGTCACAAAAACAGTCCTCATCAACCTCTGGAGTCCTCTGGCTTCCCTAGGCCTAGGTTCCCAGCCAGCAGGGGTCTCAAGAGCTGCGGACCCCTCTTGGGTAAACTGTCAGCACCTTTCACAGTTTGTCCTCTGTAGTGTAGAACCAGGAAGCAGATGGTCACTGTCTGGAGCATCAGGAATAGGGCTTCACCCCAAGAGCTGCAGAGTCAAGAGTTGGGAGGAAGAAAGGCAGGCCTGGAAAGAGGCAGGAAAAGCCTCCGTAGCCCATCCATTTGGGAACACAATTCTCCGGTTACTCCCTGTCCTCCACAGCCCTACAGGTTCCTATCTCTTGCCCCCCAGCACCCGCACCCCCCCCATTCTCTGACTGACTCACTCTGGACCCTGGGCATTTGTGGGATGCTCTCCTCCTGTCATAACCTCCACAGGTGATGAGTACATTTCCAAAGGGCTTACCCTTTTCCTGCCCTTTTACCTCCCTCACCCTAACCCTGCTAGAGCTGTGAACATTTACTCTTGGGGATAGAAGGCCAACCCCTCACCTGAAGGGGAATTTGTTGATGATGCTGTAGACCATGGTCCCAGTCAATGCCACTAGTTCCAGCATTACTGACTGAAGGCTCAACCCTTCAGCACTCTTGGCTCCAAGAATTTTAAGCACCTGGGGTAGTTTTACTGGTAAAAGGACAAAAAGGGCATGGTTGAGGAGCTGTTATCCCTTGGGAGTACAGCTATTGGGAAGCATGTTAACCCCACTTTGGGTTAAAGGACCCATCCGGTTTATGGGTCCTTTAATGCAGCAATCCAGCAATCCACCCCCATCCCAACAGCAGAAAAGAAAGATAAAATACATACCCAGAAGTGACCCAGCTACAATTCCCAGCCCCAGGCCTTTGCTGAGGAGAATCTTCAGGCAGGGGACTGAGAAGAGAAAAGGGACCTCTGGAACACAGGCTAGGGTTTTCTGGAGATACTACAGGCCTACAGGCTTAAAACACTCTGGACTGCCCTTGCTCCTTAAGATTTTGACATACTCACACATGGAAGCCTTGGGTTGTCTGGAGGCAAATGAAAAAGGCCTGATGCTTGCTGCTCCAAATCATCACATTCAGATGAGGTGACTTTACAAATCACCTTTTACCATTTCTTCCCTCCAACCCAATTTTCCACTCCCTGAAGATTACTCCTAAACTCCTTGGTCTTCCTTCCAAGGCTCTCCATGGTTTCCCTGTATAAAGCTAACAATGCCCAACACTGCTCTGATCCATTTATCCCCCCCCCCCGCCCCCACTGAGCAACTAGGCGATCTACTTTACGTGTCTTCTCTTTCCAAGGGCAGGTCTTCTTTTTACCATTCATTCCTGAATCCATTGTCTATGGCCCGACCCCTCCAGGGCTGCTATGCTCTGGCCTCCCACTTTTTCTCTAGCCTTGAAGTCTTCCCCTTAACTTGGCCCATTGGGAGTCAGATTCTCACGGGTCATGAATGCGGCTAAAACAAAGTGTTCCATGAACTGAGGAGTCATGGAACAGTGGAGTCATGGAACACAGTGGGGCCGATCGGGAAAGCTTCCAAAAGGGTCTGATGTCTGAGATGGGCCTTGCTGTGGAGTAGCTTTGTGAAAGTGGAAGGAAGCCAAGTTATTCCAAAACTAGACCGTGAACAAACGTGGAAGCTAAAAGTAAAGCCATCAGGATGGCAGGAGACTTTGGGAGTACCGCTTTAGTCCTGGATTCCTAAGAGGCTTGTAATCAAGTTTGACCTTACTCCTGAAGGTATAGCGATCAATTAAAGGTTGTAACTATTTGATCATATTTTAACTTTGTTTTATAAAATTTAAGTCTTTCGGCGTTTCGTTGCCGCTAAAGCATAAACTTCATAGAGAATTACTTCCACCCAGTGAGCGACACCCCCTAGCCCAAAAATGGCGTTCTCCTTCTTCGAATCCCGAGACACTTCCGCCCCTTTCAGAGGTAATTTCCGCCCAGCACTGTGTGCAGTAGTCAACGCAGTCACTCAATCCGCAGCCACGCCCCACTTGTGGTAAGAGGGCGGTCCAGCAGCACTTTGACCGGGTGCCGAATAAAACTCACCATGAAGCAAATCCCACTGGACGAACAATTGGTCGTAGCATTTTTCAGATAAAAGAATCGGCACCAGCACCCGTTTCAGCGGCCCGTCAGCTTCGGTCGCCATATTGCAAAGGTAACTTCCGCCAGTTTCTTCAGACCGTCTTTGACCTACAGCGCGCATGCGCACTCTAGGAACTCTTCCTCTGTCTTTCCGCAGCAAAGCTGGACCGCCGGCCCGTATTTTCTTTCTTAACGCCACTGTACCTTTAGCAGCGTAAAATAAGTCTCGTCCAAGGACCAAGTTTTGGAGCCTGCTGTTTTAAAGCGTGTCAGAGCTTTAGCACGCACTTCCTTGTTTTGTGCCTTTGTTTACACTTCCAGTCTGGAAGCAAGATTTATCTTCCTGCTTTTCTCCGCTTCTCTTGCTCGGCGCCATCTTGTCCTCTCCCTTCTGACTTTACATTGTTCAAAGTTGAGAGAAAGAGCGTGAGTCTCCAAAATGGCGTTGGGTGGAGGCGCTGTAGCTAATTTTTGTTCTTTCGGTGTCTCCAAGAAGGAAGGGCTTTGGAAGGAGCAGAACAGTCTGTATTCTGCCGCCGTCTATGGGCGCTGGGCTGCTGCTAGGGCCCACGTTTCTCCTGTGGGTCACCCAGGTTTTGGTGAATGCGTGCGCTAGTAACTGCTGAGCCGGGACAGTGATGCAGAAGGAGGACAATGTGGCGGAGGCAAGACCAGTTTTGGGGGAAAGTGGCCCTCAAGCCTCCTGCCGAACCCAGTCCTGGGTGGTTTCATGGAGTACAGGCCCTTGGGTTCCACTCCAAGGGTCTGAGGACTCTACCTCTGGGCTAAGGCCCAATCCTCTGCCTTCTGTGACGACGTAGTGAGCAAGGGCTTAAGCAAGGCTTAATGAGCCCAGCAGCTCCCTTTGGGAAATGGCACCTTAGACCTCCCAATGAGACCTGGAACACCAACTCTTGGCCGTCCAGGTGGAGGTGGGTCTGGCCCATCGTGCTGTCTTGCAGACCTTTGATGACTCTCATGTCACAGTCTGCAGGGTCGAACGTGTCTCTGAGGCCGTGGTGGGGCTTCCTGTAATGGGATGGGTCTCTAGGTCCCAGTAGGTGCTTTTTATAGCTGTAAAGATCTACAACTGGAAGGGCCCATTCTGACCCCCAGCAATTGCAACATGACCTACTGTAAAGGGTGTGAGTGTAATTTAGTGGTGGTGCAGGCTGTGGCTGTCTGGCAGGCCCTTTTGTAGAATCTGGTCATAGGCTACCCTGGGGGTGCCACCTACCACCACTCACTAAGTACACCACCATTGGGGACATCAAGGTTGGCTCCCTGGGTGACACAGGCTGGAGGTATGTTGTCCCCCAGGAGCACAGAGGGTCATTGTATGTGGAGGTTGTAGTACCCACTGTACCTATTGTTGATGAAACCCTTTGCAGGTGAGGTAGCATCCCAGGTGCAGCAAAGGTTTAAATCAGGCTGTTCAGCCGGTCCTAGACATGGTGGGGAGGGCAGGCATTCTTGTTGCTAAGTAGCTACTAGCACAGACTTTAGAAACAAAAAGATAAAAAGATGGGTGTGACTTCCCCCATCTACACTCATTGCTGTTGCTGCCTGCCTCACTTGTAGTTTTGCATAAAACTACAGTCAGGAAGATCACCAGGATGGATTGGAGGGGAGGGGAAATGAACAGCCAGGGGCCCCAGATGAAGAGGGAGGCAAAGCAGATTCAACACCCCTGTGCCAGGCTTTGGGGGATGAGCCCATGAGGGTATTTGGTCACACAGTGATATTTTATTCTTCCTCACCAGCTCCCTGAGACTCAACCATTTAAGGCACAGAAAGCATTGTGACAAGAAACTCATGGCTTTTAATCCTAGCAGGAAAGACAAGGAAAACCAAAGATAAAGATTCAGTAGGTTTTATTATTCTCCCACTAGGAATGGGAGAGGAAGAATTTCACATTTAATAAACATCTCTCCTCAGTTCTCCCAGTTGCATTATCTCTACTTTTGTTTCTCAAGTCAGAGGGAAGAAGATAACTTTGTCACTGAGTCAGGTGAGAAATGACGGCATCCCCTGGTGCCCTGGGTGTTGGGACAAATGCTCAGAGGGGCTGGTAGGTAGATGGGCGTCTCCGGAAGATGCAGAAGGTAACAAGCACCAGGGCGAGGAGGCCGAGGGCGATCAGGCCGATGATAAGAGGCAGCAAGATGGATTGGTCACTAGGACAAGAAAAACCTGGCAGAAAAACGGTAAGTAGGCATCACAATGGTGGTGGCTGGGATAAAGGTGGAAGGAAGGGATGTGGGGGATGTTAGAAAATAGGAGGTTGGTGAGGAGCTCACCTAGATGACAGCAGTAAATGAAAGGGGAGAATGGACAGTCTTGTAGAAGAGGGGAGGACAATTGCCCTATAGTTATGACAAGTCTAAGAGGAAATTTGGGGGTATAAGAAGAGAGATTATACAGGCCTGCAGTAGGGGATTCAGTGCACTGGGAGAGTTTTAGGGAGGAAGGAATAGGTCTTACTTGGCCCAAAGGTCCCTGTTGAGGGTAGCTGAGCAGCTTGTAGCCTTAGGAAGAGCAGGTCGAGGTGGAAAACTGGTGAAAGAATGATGCTCGCATTTCTGCAACTGAAGCTCTGGCCCAGTGGGGCTTGGAGTTCTTGAAGGGATGAATTTTGAACTGAGAACGTCCATTCTAAAACAGTGAGGAAGAGTCAGCTCTATATCTGCATTCCCACCCTCCCCAGTTTAGGTCCTTTTAGGCGTCTAGACACCTAGTGCAAGTTATAAAAAAGGGGAGATTACTCACTTGTTGCCCGTGGGAAGGATACATTGTACTCCACAGCTGTGTAGTTCAGGTAAACAATGCTCTGCTGTGGCTCCTGCAGAGGTGACCAGAAAGGCTCAGGGCAGCAGGGGTGAGTGGTATCCATGTCCACAGAGCAAGGACTATGGCAAAGGATTGATGGATAGGGTACTTGGAGGGTGAGAGTGAGGGGTGAGGTACCTGCTTGAATCCAAAGCTGAGCTGTCCATAGGGGAATGAGAGAAGCAAGTGGGGATGGGCACCCTCACAGCCACCCTGGGCCTTGGTTTTGTTGGGGTTCAGTACAGAGATGCCCCAAGCCTGTGGAAGTTAAAGATGAGAGGGTCACAAGGCTACACAACCATGCCATCTAAGGTCCCATGTTCCTTTCAATTCCACTCTGTATTTGTCCCCTTCTCTGCTCTTCCTTTCTGAACCATGGTGAACGGTCTCATCCCCTTCCCTCATGTCCTCCATTCTTTTAACTTTACCTGTCCTCCATCTTGAGTTGGATACAGAACTCGAATCTGAATCTGGGCTTGGAGATGGGCACAGGGCTGGGAACCATTAGTCCAAGTGTAGTCTCCTACAGCTGCCTTGGAGCCTGGGCTAGGACTTGGAGAAGGTGGAGGTGGTCCCGGGTGGGGGGGACTGCTGGAGGATCCTGGGCTGGTGGCAGTGCTGTTGCTTGTTGGATGAGCTGTGACATTCCCATGGCTTGTTGTGCTGACAGGATTATGAGTAGCTGTTGTGGGTCCGGGGCTGGTTCCTGTGGCATTTCCATGGCTTGTTGTGCTGACAGGATTATGAGTAGCTGTTGTGGGTCCATGGCTGGTTCCTGTGGTGGTGGTTCTGTGGCTCTTGGTAGTGTGGCTGGTTGTTCCAGGGCTTGTGCTTTCCGTAGCTGTAGGTGTCACCGTGAAGGATGGCAGCAGAGTGGCAGATTTTTTATGAGGGCAGTCATTTCCTGTCCCTTGGGCTTTCAGCAGAGGAAAGACTGGTTAGCAACCCAGGAACAGGCTCCTTCCCAGGGGCTCTCCCCCCTTGTCATTTTTCCTTACCTGCCAGTAGCCCCAGCAAGACCCCTAAGCAAAGCACAGCAAGCTTCATGACCAAACAGCCTCACCGAGTTCTAGATTGTGTCTGTACCAGCTGCTCATCCAACCTACTGACCTTCTTTTGAAACAAGGGAGAAATGAAAGTCTGACTTCCTATAATTAATATAACCCTACCCCCCCCCCAAACTTGACTCAGGCACCTCAGCTCCAGCCACCAACCTCTTAGTCATTGTCACATGATTGGTTTCACCAATCATGGGGGTCTTGTCAGGATCAAAGCTAGAATGCTTGGAAACCCATTTGTCTACCTCAGCAAGACGAGTTGGCGGGGGGGGGGGAAGAAGAAGAATGATTTCACAAGCACTTGAGAAGCAGCCCCTGGTCTGCAGAGAAAATGCTTTCCAGAAAACATTGACTAGGATGTTAAACCAAGTTACACTCCCATTTCCCCCTCTATCACTTCCTCTTGACTGAGACACATGAGGCACTTGTGATGGGCAATTGCCCAACCCCCTTCAGCTGACTTAAAGCAACACAACAAATGGTAAATGTTAGCTGATGGAGGAGGGAGTATGTACCCCAAAGCAGGTGGAAAGGGGAAGAAATGAGAAGCCCAAACAGGCAGTTTCCAAGTAATTTTATTCAGAATTTTGTGTTTGTTTCCTGAATCAATAAATACTATACAAAACAATGTAAAAATGGCTACTATTTTTTCTCCCCTGGTCCCCCCACCCCACTTGGGGACAATCCCCTGGGCCACCTAACTTGGGTTTTCCCTCCAGATTTGGTCCAGTAAATGAGATTGAGTGACATCCCAGCCTCTGGGAATCATTCTCAGAGGAATTTGGCTGGAGTGGGTAGAACCTCCAGTTTGGAGGTTGACCAGGTTAGGGAAGTGGATTAGTGTTTTTGGGAGAAGAGACGGCGCCTGGGGCAAGAGCCTACCCCAAAGAAAAGGGTATCTAAAATGTTCACGGTTCCTTCTTTGCCTCAAAAAGTGACATTTATTCAAAGGAAAAAAAAAAAAAAGAAAAAAAATGACAAGATGTCCATCCCTTGGCTCCCTTCCCACCCCCCTCCGGCTCCTCCTCAGCCCCACAAGGGCTGAACCCTGGCTGGGGTGAGGTGGTGGGCCAGCCCCTCTCAGATGAGGTCAGCAACATTGAGGGGCATCTCCTCAATAGAGGTGTTGTAGAAGGTTTCGATGTCTCGCAGTGTCCTCTTGTCTTCTTCTGTCACCATGTTAATAGCCACACCCTTACGGCCAAAACGTCCACCCCGGCCGATTCTGGAAAACAAGGACACCTTAGGATATAGGGGTATGGTGAACTTAGAAAACCAGAAGCTTCAGCCCAGGGAGGGTTGGGCATGAGGAGGCTGGGTAAATACACTCACCTGTGGATATAGTTTTCCCTGTTGGTGGGAAGGTCATAGTTGATGACTAAAGAAACCTGCTGCACATCAATGCCTCTGGCCTATGGCAACAAAAAAGGACTTCATCAGTGAGAAGAGGGCACAATCTATCCAGAAGAAACCTGGGATTTGAATGTACATGTAGGCAGCCAAAGGAAGGCAAAGGAAATTGCACATGACCTTCTGCCCTGAAGAGCTGAGGCATGCCAAATTTTATTCCAAGTTGCTACTTTCCTGAGGAGGGGCAACTATTAGGCCCCCAGGAGAGGGAATCACCTTGGTTTTCCCTTCTTCCATCCCAGCTTTCTCCAAATTCCTTTCTACTCACCAGCAGGTCAGTGGTAATCAATACTCTGCTAGAGCCAGAGCGGAACTCCCTCATGATTACATCTCGTTCCTTTTGGTCCATATCTCCATGCTAGAACAGAAGCAGAAAAGTGTAACAAGCACCTGGGCTCTAAGTGAGCTACTGCTGCACAGACACTGACAGTAAGAAGGGAAAATTCACCATTGCAGAGACGGTGAAGTCTCGGGCATGCATCTTCTCAGTGAGCCAATCGACCTTCCTTCGAGTGTTGATGAAAATAACTGCCTGGGTGATGGTGAGGGTTTCATACAAGTCACACAGTGTGTCCAGCTTCCACTCCTGGGGGTGAGTTGGGGAGAGAAAAATCATTCAGGGGCTATACACCCAACAACTTACTGCAAGATCCGCTTCGTGCACTGGGCCCCCACCTCTCGTTCCACATTGATGTAGAATTGGCGAATACCCTCCAGAGTCAACTCTTCCTTCTTGACGAGAATCCGAATAGGGTCCCTCATGAACTTTTTGGTCACTTCAAGCACATCAGAAGGCATTGTAGCTGACAGCAAAACCACCTAATAGGAAAAAGAACAGCCCCTCAAGATAGGAGGTTCTCCATGCAACCTTCCCTAAAGTACCACCTAAAACAGAAACTAATGGATAAAAAAGGCTTGAGATTAGAATTCGTTTTTAAAAAAATAGATTTCCTTTTTTAAAAAAGCTTTTATTTCTTTATCTGGAAGGGAAGGGGGAGAAAAATATCAATGTATGGTTGCCCCTCATGCATCCCCTGCTGGGAACCGGCCTGCAACCCAAGCACGTGCCCTGACTGAGAAACCGAAATCCTTTGGTTCACAGGCCTGTGCTCAATCCGCTGAGCTATACCAGCCAGACGAAGCCAGACTACAGATTAGAATTCTTTATGGTTCCTCTGGCAACTGATAACTGCTCTAATACCCCAACCCCAATTTATAAAAGATCAGGTATGGGGCAAGTCTCTCTCACCTGGGTGTTGCTATTGAGCTTTTGGAAGATGTCATAGATCTGGTCCTTGAATCCACGACTTAACATTTCATCAGCTTCATCCAGTACAAACATCTTAATGTATTTGGGAGCTACAGAAAAATATTAGTAAGTGGTAATCAGGGAAGCATGAAATATACTTAACTTTTCCCAATAAAGAACCAGGAGAAACAAGCGGTCTGCTCTCAGAATTCTAGTTTTGATCCTTGCCAGGGTTCCCCCTCGCCAGGCCAGACAACAGCCCTGGGAAGTAGAACACTACCTGGGCTGAGAAAGGGAAGCCAGGCTCAGATGACACGCATGGGGTTCATCATAGAGCAACTCTTTCAGGGGAAAAACAAGCCTTATTGGCAAGACTGTGGCCAACTGGAGAAACTGAGAAAACATGGAGAGGAAAGTGACCCAGAATGAAAAAAAAATCACAATACTCACACAGGTATCTGCGGTTAAGCATATCAAACACACGACCTGGGGTGCCCACAATGATATGAGGAGCTTCCATCTGCAGCTTCTGCACCTCAGCACGCACGTTGGTACCTCCAATGCAGGCATGGCAGGAGGCACCCATGTAATCTCCTAAAGCCATGACTACCTTCTGTATCTGAACCCAGAAAAAGTGCTCATATTATTAGCTACAACTGTACAACTGCGCCATACCCCATTTTAAGTGCTTCTCATGTGTTGTTTTTTTTCCAGCTATATATTACTAAAACCCTCTTTCCAGATGAGAAACAGGTTAAATGCATCTAAGACTGGAACAAACTCTACCTCATGAAAAAGTATAATTCATAATAACTACTCTGAATTTTAAGACACCTTACCATGCTAGACGCAACTGCTAAAAGCCAATGGTGAGCCTCCTATACTTGTCTCCTAACATCCAATCTTATGTATGGGATGACATACACGGATGTTCACAAAAATTAAAGTGACGTGCTATTAACAAAAAGCACATTTTAAACAAGAGGCCTAGAATGAAGTTTTACTGAATGCTGGCATGCAAACTGAAGGGCTACCAGTTCAATTCCCAGTCAGGGCACAATACCTGGGTTATAGGGTGGGTCTCCAGTTGAGGGTGTGGTGTGACCAGTGTAACCCATGATGTTTTCCTCTTTTTGCCCCCCCAAAGTGAATTTTAGAGGAAAAAAAAACAAAAACAAAAAAAACCCCTACATCCCCTAAAGCCTCAGTTCACAACCTACCCATGAAACTGATGTTTCTAACCTTTTCCCTTTCAAGACTCAGGAATTATAATTTTATGTGCCCCAGGCATGAACCAGCTCTGGCCACCAATGCAGGCAACAAGCTAGGATGAACTAAGGACTGTACAACTGCTTTGCCCCTGACTGATATAAGAGCAACACCACCAATCAGGTGTGTCCTTGCCCATTGCCAGGGGGTTTGTCCATAGAACAGCCACCACACTTGCTCAGCTAGCCAGGCTCTACCCAGCAGCTTTCCCATTTGATTCAAGGAAATGTGTGGAAAAGTAAAGTCTATTGTTTGGGGGCAGGTACCTCAGTTCTCCCAAGGTGGTGGTGGTTGAGGAGCATACTCATATAATCAAGTTACACTCACCTGCTGTGCCAATTCTCTAGTGGGTGCCAGGACCAAGGCCTGGGTGGCCTTTAGGTCCAATTCAATCTGTTGCAAAATTGATATGGCGAAAGTGGCTGTTTTTCCTGTCCCAGATTGGGCTTGAGCGATCACATCATAACCTAAACAGATAAGAAAAAAAGGCTGATATGGTAGAGGGCATACATTTTGGGATCATGGGACATTCAAGGCCTTGCAAAACGAGGCCAATAAGCACCTAATCGAGCCTATGTACCAAGCATAAAGTGCCTTACAGACCTAACTCCACACAAGCATAAAGTGCCTTACAGACCTAACTCCACAACATAATAACCTTAAATGGGAACAGACCTGATCATTAACTCATTTAGTATTACCCCAAAGAAGCCAAAAATACAGCTGTAAACAAGTACGAGTTACTTAAAATACTACCTTATTAAAACCACACCAGTAATCCACATGTCCAAGGCATGAACAAGGCATGGGCACAAACCAAAAGCCAACCTGGGATAAACAAGGAGTTACTTTGTCCCTGGCTGATGAGACAAGCACCACCAAGCCAGGTGCGACTCTACCCAGATCAGGGACACTCCAGAACTTGCTTTGGAGCAAAGGAATCTTACCCTTGATACAAGGAAGAATGGCTCGCTGCTGGATGGCAGAGGGCTTCTCAAAACCATAGGCATAAATGCCACGGAGGAGGGACTCTGAGAGGTTCATGTCATCAAAGCTGTCAACAATCTCATTCCAGTTACTCTGTAGGATGTGAAGAAATTACAGTAATAGAAGTATGGCTGCACATTGGAGCAAACAGCACCCTGTTTTTATTAAAGCTTCAGAAGCAACAATCTCACAGCAGCAGTCCACTTGTAAACCATAAAGGTGTAGGAGGACAAGACTCAAATTTCTTACTCTCAGAGATACAAATATTTTAAGCCATACAAATTAACCCCCGTGACGAGTGCAACTACTTGGTAATTAGGTTACGAATTAAAGACTAATCCTAGATTCTGGTTTTAATCTTAAGATACTGAGCCGGCATTTCAGAAAACAGGAGACATTGCTCACTGCACTACCCTTACCAAAAATAAGGCAATGGTGATTAAGAATCTAATCTCACCTCAATGACACCTTCAGGCTCCATTCCATCGGGGCCATTGTCTCTGGATCTGTTGGTTTAAAGTATGAGTATGCTGACTGAAGCATGTTAGAAATCCCAACAGTCGGCTGGCTCTTCCTACCAGCAACCCGCCTTGCATGACGGCGTCTTTACTCCCTGACCCAACCCCCACCAGTTCCTAGAAGACACAGTAGTTACCTTACAGCTGAGTAAGGCATTTGCCCCATCCAAGAAGCGGCTCAGGTCATGCCACCTTGATTTAATGGGGTAACCCCCCCCTAAAAAAAGAACCGGAGGATGGGGGAAATGATGCCTCGAGTAAGCAGCCCAGAGGTGGTGTCTGTCTGCCGCTGGGCCCACGTGTATGGGGCCTGGCCGCTTCCAGGCCTAGTGCGTGCACCTCCTATCACTGCCCCAGCGCTCCGGAAGTCCCGCCTTTCACCTCCCAGAATGGAGTTAAGACATCCCCTTCCCCCCACGTCATTCCGCGGGTGCCCTCCCCCACTCCCTCAGCCCACCTCCCCCCTTCCAGTGGTGCCCGGATGTGGGAGGCCGCGGGCGGTGGTGGCCTCGCGCACAATGAGCCCCAGCCGAGCTAGCTAATGGGAAGATTGCACAACACTTAAAGGCGAAGCAGACTGGGGGAGGGGAGGACATCAGGCCGCCATGTGCTCGCTCCCTGGACCACCCGGCGGCGTCTCCACCCACCAAGAAACAATCCACATCCCGCCCGCCCCGTCGCGAAATGGCGTCGCCCTCCCCATACCTCAGGGCGCTCACCCCCGAAGGAAAGTGGACCTGCCCATCCGCAGTTTGCCAATTTCCCGGCTTGTGCGGCAAAATGGACCCGCCCGCCAGGCGCCGGGTGGGCTCCTGGCGCCTCACGCGGCTGCTCCTCGGGGTTAGGCTCAGTCCTGGCCGTCAAGAAAACCAGCACACTGAACGGCCGGTTTCTTCTTCCCCGACCCATATCTCAACGCGACGCAACGACTGGGACTGAGAACCCAGGCCTCCCCGCCTTGGCAAGTGGTAGCGCCAGAATCCTCCGGAATTCGAGCGCGCGCAAAACCTCCCTTCGCCAGTGAGGCAACCGGACAGTACGGCTCTGGACTTCGCGACCACCTCTACCTTTTCTTCTCACGCTAGGTCGCGACCTGGTTTCACCACTCAGCGTCGCGACTTGCGCACTGTGTCTGGTCGAGGCCTTCTAACGAACCTCGCATTCTATACCCTGAAAACCAAGCTGTCTTCGCTTTCTTCTATGGATCTACCTCGTCCCTCCCCCAGGGCTGATCCTCCCAGCTTGGTTTCCCCGCAACCTAGATGTGCCTCAGATCCGCCCGTCCCCCCCCCGCGGCGGGGCGCTCGGATGGGAGCGGTAGGGTAAGTAGCCCCAACCTCTTACGAATGCCTTCCTTACCGGGAATCCTGACTGGCAGACATGATCCTTAGAAACTAGGGCGGAGTGCCCGCCTATCGACAACTTATAGAGCGCCCAACCCCGCCCCAGCCATCGCATTGGCTTGGCCTCCTGGGCCCCGCCTGCTGGCGCACAGCAACTCGGCGTGACGTTAGTTCGTTGGCGCTCTGGCACGTAGTCACCACAGGATAACTTGAACGCCTATCAAGTTGGAGACCCGCCCCACAGTTTCATTGGCTACAAAGCCCGCCCTTCTCACCGGTACGGAAGTGACATACAGGAGTCAAGCCTCGAGGCCTGGCAGCCATCTTGGGACCCTGCACCCTTACACGTGCGGAGGTGATAGTATCTTAGTCATGTGGCCTAATAGGCCCTATCGTGGAAGGGGGGCGAGGTTTCAGCCTCCAGGGACTTCCGGACTTCCAGGGCTTGCACTTCCCTTTACCTCTGCTCCAGGTCTCCACTGGACCCACGTTTTTTTTTTCCTCCAGCAAAGCTAGATCAGACTATCCCCTATGTATTCCCTATGTTCCAGGGATGATGAGATCAGGAGCCAGAGCCTAGCGACTAAGAGGATTCCCTGGCTGGAGGGGAGGAGGGATTGAATAAGGGACTTCTAGGCTTAAAAGCACTCATGGTTGCTGTCCTGAATCTTTGCTGGCTCTCTTAAGTGTCCTATTCCCCAAAGTTAGTACCTCTCAAGCTCCCTTATTTTTGAGGATCACCTACTCTCTCCCTTCTTACATCCCTTGCTCCCCTGGGTGAGGAGATCTTGGTGACAGAGGCATGGTGTTGGTACTGTCTGAGCCAAGGATGGAAAGCTGGCCGCCTAAATCTCAAGACCCATAAAAGGGTAACTAACAGCATTGGCTGGAGGAGAGCCTGAGATAGAGCATATCCCTTAAGGAAGACCACCACTAAGTATCTCCAAAGGATCCTTTATTGACCAGAGCAGGACCGTGGCATTTATATATATATATAAAAAAAAAGTTTGAAGATCTGGCAGGCAGTAATCCCGTTGTCCGCCCACCACCCTCAGCACAGATTTTCCTGGCCACCACCCACATATGGAAGGGGGATCACTGCCCCACAAAGGTCGCAAGGCCATACTCCCCTGCACACAGAGGGAAAAAGGGGCTTTTCCATGGCCACCCCTGAACATCAGAAATCAACAAGTATTCTCTCAAAGGAAAAAAAACACAGA